GTGGCCGACGAGACGGCGGCCAAGACCAGTCTGCAGCGGTCGGCGCTGGACCGCACGCTCACCTCTGCAGAACAGGAGAACGCGGAGCTGCAGCGGCAAGGTGCGCAGCTTGGAGCAGCAGCTGAGCGGCCTGGAACAGCAGCACCTGCAGCGGCTGACGCAGATCAAACAGGGCAGGGTGGGTGCAGGACAGTGGCCGACAGATCAGGCAGGGTAGAGTGGTTGCTGCAAAGTGGCCGACAGACCAGACAGGGCAGGGTGGTTGTTGTACAGTGGCCGACAGATCAGGCAGGGTAGAGTGGTTGCCTGCAAAGTGGCCGACAGGGGCCGACAGACCAGACAGGGGCATCTGGCCCGTGCTTCGGTCGACGGTCGGACCGGACAGGAACGAGGTCTGGCACGAGTTACAACTTGCCACTACGCCCGTCGCCGGCAGTAGCGGACATTGCTCCGCTGTATGGTGTCATTAAGCCAGCGCCATGCTCAGATTGGCTTCTTATCCGAGATTAATTCCCTCGTTTGCGACAGGAACTGCCATTTGACGTGGATCAGATGCGAACGCGCTACACCCAGCTGGAGAAGACCATGGAGTCGAAGGAGCGCAGCTACAAACAGCGCATCGCCGGGCTGGAGCAGCAGGTGACAAAACTCGACCCACTGCACTGGCGGCCACTAGTGCTCACTGATGGCCACCGACGATCATTTATCACCACTGGCGGTGACTGATGATCGCCGCCTATCACCTGTAGTCATGGGTGATAGTCATGCCGCCTTTGGCAATGGAGGTCACTGATGGTCGGTCGCTGGCGTGCGCTCGCGGTCTGCGACGTCAGTGACGGTCACTGGCGTGCGGACTGGCGGACACGGTTGCTTGCCAATCACCTTCGGCGCATGCGCGGGTTGGGTGTGCGTGCCGAGAGTGGTGTGGTGCCGCCGGCGGCGGCGAGCGGGCCGACGCGGTGTCGTGTTTGCCGACGTGACGCGCCACCCCGCCTGACAGATCAAGACCCTGAAGGAGCAGCTGGCGCAGGAGATCCGCAAGCGCCAGGAGTACATGCTGCGCAGCTCGCGCGCCGGCGAGGAGATCCGCGAGATTCGCTCCACGCTGGACGACAGCCTGCGAGCCGTCGGCGGAAACGAAGGTGCGGCGAGCGGTGACGTTAGCGGAGTGACGTCACACCATCAGGCGCGGACACGTCTCCACCTCCATTCTCTGTTGGGCCTTGCTTGACATGGGCGGACGTATTGGAGCTATCCATGTCCGCATTGAACCCCTTGCCCTGCCAGTGTACAGAGAGTTGGTCCGAAGTTTTGCCTCGACGGCGCGAAATTCAAGCAATTAACCACAACAGAGCTTCTCGTGAACCTTGAGCAAATATCTCACCAAAATGGACGGTCACTGCAAGCTTTCCATGTTGTGACCTAGTCTGTGCAAGGCTATGGTAGTGGTTGACGTCACGTCGCAGTAAGGCTCCATGTGATGGGCCGAGCGACCTTGGGGAAGGCTGATTGCCTCGCCTCAAGGTGGCACTAGTCCCCGCGGTGGCTGGTGCTCAGGCACACTGGTAGCCGCCATCTCAATCATGACGAAAGATAGCGTCACTGTATGGAAAGAACATTTGTTTGCTGTCCAAACTTGATCGGTTAAGTTGACCCCTCTCAAAAGTGGCAGCAGGGCAATGTATCAAATTAAATGTGACTGAGGCAAAGCTTGGAACTTTACAAAGAACAAACAAATTAGCTGCATGCAAAAACATCACAAACAATTTTAAGCTGACGGCAAGGGGATGTTTGTCGGCAGGCCTAGCATAGCTTAAGTCCAACGCTTGATGTTAAGGTCAATGTTCAATGCCTAAGCTGAATGCCTCCATGAGATCGTTATTGTTTGCCAGCTGGTCACGTCAGTGTAGCCGGGTTGGCCGGGAGCTCCACTCTGTGTGGCGGAGGCCGCAGTTTGTGATCGTTCGCGGCCATGTCGGCAGAGCTGGACGCCGGCGCGCTGGACTTTGAGTCGCGCCGCCTGGACGCGCTGGTGGACCGGCACCGGCTGGCGGCCCGCGCCGGCCGCACTGTCCGCGCGCCGGTGGCCCGCTCTCCGGTCCGCTCACGCACCGTCAGTCCCAGGTCAGTCACGTCCCGCCCTAACTTGAGGTGCAGGCCAGTCGTGTCCCGTCAGTACCAGGTCAGTCACGTCCCGTCAGCTCCAGACCAGTGCCGCACCACCAGTCTCAGGTCAGTTGATCGAAACCGAACTGGCAACCTCTTGCCTGGGTACCGGTGAAATTATGGTTAATTTATGTATGACAGCGCGTCCAACGGCTTTGCGTAATGCCTCCCCACTAACCGCACGCATCTTTTGAATTCCGATAATTGATATGCCTTACGTTGCTGAGACGGTTCTCACGCGTCGTGACCTGGCTGGATGGCCGACCACTGACCTCTGATGTGCCCTGGGTCAGGTCGCCTCGTTTCCGTGTGCCGACGTCGCCCGTCCGTCGGCTGCCGGGCGCGGCGCGGCGCAGCCTGGCCTTCCGCTGATGGCCGCCGCCGCCGCCGGTGCGGCCCCGTTTCGCGCGGCACGGAGGAGCCGCTGCTGCAGGGTCGGAGCCAGGGCACCATTCGCACGCGGCGCGCCCGGCCCGGGACCGCCGCTGTGTCAGCACTGCCAGTACGGTGTCAAGTGTAATAGCACCGGCCGGGTGGCGGCCGCGCCGGCCGGCGCGCCTCCGGCACGCCGCCTCACCGCCTCAGACTACAGTGGGCCGCGGGAGCCGCGATCTCTAGTCTTGCTAGTCAGTAGTGCATCGCGCCGCGGTGTCAGTGGGAGTTGGAGGCCTGCGCGTCGTACAGCTCATCTCCTTGAACGGCGTGTTGGTGTAATCCTGAAGCGGAATCCGTCCATACCGGTGCCTGTGAATCCGTCCGCCGGTGCCTGTGAATCCGTCCGATCTTTCCGTTTGTGATCAGAGACGACGTGGCGACGAAAGGCCTTGGATGCTGCTTCAGTGTTTCGCTGTTCACCACGTTTTACACCGTATTTGAATCGCGGGTGAAAATCAGGCTTGCATTTCGAATGTTTACGTCAATTTCTCCCTTGTTTCGCCCATTTTCCCAGTGGCGACTGATGCCCATCTAGTGAGGTCCCCATCTCCCGCTGTGCTCCTGGACCCTTTGCTGGCGCTGTTGGGTCGCCCACCGTGGACCCTTCAGCGAGACCCTGCCGCCCCTTTCCTCTGTGTGCTGTGTGCCCGCGTGTCTGCCCCGCCAGCCGCGTCGCCGCCTGTCTGCCCTCTTGGAGACGGAGCGGTGACGGGCCGCCTATCCCCGCACGCGCCGGACCGCCGGCCGGCCGGATCTGCACGCGTTCTAATCTCGGTAGAACACCGCTGCAGTCCGGAACACCTTCGTCACCCGCCCTGTCCTCTCCTCTCTCCTCTCTCCTCTCCTCTGCCCGTTGCCTGCCGCCGTTCGTTACCAGTCCTCCGGGTTTGCTGTTTTGCTGGCCGTCTTGTGCGGTGTTTGGTTTGTGAAATCGGCCGTCGCCGGCTGCCGTCCGGCCGCATGCGTGTCACGTGACCGAGATTAGAATGGATGTCACCTGAAATTTTGTCGCGCAGTAATGTCGGGCTGTTCACTACCGTTCGGCACGCGGTTGTCTCCGAGCTGTATGGGCAACAACCGGAGTTTTTTGCTCACTGCTCAGACATCGATGTCGCGAACACTGCCGCTGATAGTGCTTAGTTTTAGATCATCTTCAGAGGGCGACGAGTGCTCCATACTATCGGTGGCAAATAGTGTTGTTACATTTGCTTGGCTGCTATATCTTTTGTCAACCTGTATGCTGCACATGCTGACGCTTTAAATTTACAATTAGCCGCATGCCTTGTTGTGTCCGGTCGTAGCCTGAGCAGCCAACTGGCGTTTGGTTAAGATGGCTGCCCATGCTCGGCCGAGTGTAGAATACATGTGACGTCACACATGACAATGACGGCTTTGTTGAAGGTTGTCCTGAATTTCATGACTCCGATTTAACAGGAAAATATCGCCGGGCTCATTATTCCATCACGAATAGAAAATAACCAAAAGCTCGGCTTCAGCCGATCTGTGTTTCGTGGGAATTAATGGCAATGCTACAGTCATCTTTTTTCGACATTGCTTATGCGCGATGACGTTTGATGGCATATTTAGTGTTCGAAGTTGCATTGGTTGCGCGGTTATTTATTGCCGTCTCAAAAACGGTCAACGCATTCCTACTCGATCAACACTGTTCGTTACCTACCAAAAACATCGAAAAAGCAGCTATCTACAATGCGGGACGGCTACAACCAGTGCTTAAGTAGATATTCGCTAAAGAGGAGCACAAGCGTGAAGATCACTCGGGAAGGCATGTGAAAAAGTGGATGCACCGAAAATCAGCTCATACCTAAAGTTCACTTCAAAATCTCCGGCATGATTTTATGATTCGACTGCGTTTGGTTGCCAGGAATTTTGTTCTACTTTTGGCTTTGTCCCATTTCGGAGGCGGGCACGCGGTGACGGTGGTTCCATTATGGCAGCGTTTCTGTCCGTATCAATATGACCGTAAGGAAGGCGCATTAAAAAAGCTACAATATTACAGTGTTGCCAGGTTCTTCAGAATTTTCAAAGCTGTTTTTGAAATGAAAATTGGTTTCCCTTCTTACGAAGAGAGAACGCTACGAAGCTACCTCGCCGCGCCCAATCCCTTAAGCCAGTAGTATTCCAGAATTCCTAAGCCTAGGGACCTAACATGTAGGCATGTGTGCACAATGCCAACAGACAAAAGTGTCCGTTACCCAATCCTTAGTATTCAAGAAAACGATTTTACGAAATATGGCAATGGTGGAGGTTGGTGGTGGAGGCTAGCAGAAACCTGTGCTATTTATGAAATCGTAGATTTTTGACGAGATCGACATCTTTGTAGGAAAACATACTGCCAGCACCATGTAATGTGTAAAATGTTCCGTGTCGTTAACCTGGAAATAATCCAGTTTTGTTATGCATGCCCTGAGTCTCTTGAATTAGTACGCCCTCTAGCTATGCATAAACACTGTGTGTTCCACATATTCAAAAACCGACGAATATCAAGTATACTGCGCCACCGGCACTGACAAACCTCTTGCTTTCGAAGGTAGGAATGCGTCGTTTAATAAACTCGCAAATGATTCAAGCGCTATCGCATGAAATTACGCTTCAGGCTTGGTGCTAAAATTACGCCATAGGCTTGGTGCAAACGCCTAAACCTGTGCCTGGCCGAATGGGGGGGGGGGGGTCTGAGGCAGCTGCGCCCGGCCAGGTTAGGTCAAAGGCGGTCGTTCTGATAAGTGCATTGGAAACCTATATTAACACGTCAAGACGGATATTGAGAGCACGGAAATAAGTGCTAAGACTGTGGTGAGTCCGTTACGACCACTTCTGTTCCCCACAAGAGTCAGGTTAGATCAGGTCAGCATTCAAATTTGGTCTACCAACAGCACACAAGTACGATACCTTTTTACAATGTGCTTCTAAGATTACTTCATTATGTGCAGTTGTGGGGCAAAATTTTCCAGACCCAAAAATACCATTTAAGACTGATCCACAGGTCATCTGAGATCAACTTAGGTCAGACTGATAAACCATGCGATCGAAAAAATTGAACTGTTAACAGGGTCTATCTAAACAGCACCATACTTTTCTGCGCGATCAGAAATAGTGTATTGTACATCTGCAGGTATTGAATATCGTATAGCTGTTGTTAACATCATACATCAGCCTTTCGATTCTTGCCAAATTGTTTGCAACGAGCTAAGAGCAGCCACGTTATAACATGAAATTATGCGTCATCAGCTTTACGAACACGAAAAGGAGTTGGTTACACGCGTCGCGCTCGTTCAACTAGCCTCTCCTTTACTGGAAACAAAAGTACTCGGCCTAGGATGACCTTATATGATCTTGCACATTTGTACGTGAACTATTGTGACATCATGCATTTGAGTGATATCATTTCTAAACCTGCTTATTTTGCGCTCAGCACGTGTTTTACAGAAGGCAGCCATAGAGGTGTGCCATGACCTGGGCCGAGGCCATGTACTCACAACATGTGTTGTGCATGTGAGTGAGTACTTTTTCTTCACATAAAAACACTACAGGTACACAAAAATTCGTGCAAATTTGTGTTGTGTACGAGCATAGTAAAAGCGGCCTGATGTCAAGCCACTGATCTCAGATTTTCCGAAGAATCGTAAAGATACAAGTTATAGGTAATACCATGTGCCATTACTATAGCAAGTTTGAACAATGGCAAATGAGCCACAGAACAGTGATGTGTGGTCAGATTTTTGGTGGTTGACCTCTTTGGCCTGACCTAGGTCACTGATATTGGTAGATCAAACCTTCAAATGTGGAGAAAGGATGACAGAATGATAGGTAAACAGGTGCTGAAAATGTCGTGCGACTGCGAGCGTTGGTTTTTACCCGCGCTCGAAAAACCATAGGGAGAAGTCAACTTTTTCGGGCCGCGCGCGGGTTAAAACTGCTGCGCGCCGCACGGCTGGTAGATTGTTTATTACGCACTAGCGAAGTCCACAGCAGTCCGAATCGGTAAAATAGATCCTTAAAATAATGACTGGCTCTTGAACTGAGAAATGGCCGAATACTAAGAGTGGAGATGCAAGGCAGAGCATGCGCAAGGTACTCGTTTCACTCGTTTTAAGGGCCGGGTGGGGCGGAGACAGGCGGCAGCTACCACACAACCAAGGGTATCAGGAATCCAAACTAGATGTTGGGTGAGTAGTGACAACCTGTCTTTGTTCGGAAACATGTACGAATCTTTCCAGCGATGGAACTGCAATGTTGGTGACCGTCGGCGCAGTGCAGTGAAGCTCCTGACGTGGACCCTGGGATCTGACACGCGTGGCCATGCGTAATTCCAAGAACAAGTCATCTATCTGAATGTCAAAACGCACAAAACAACTCTCAATTGCAGTAATAAGCCATATCTAGCCCAGACCATACTGTTTTCAAGCGGCGTCTCGCATGTCTAGAATGTGGCTGGAACTGGATCTCAAGTCTGGAGGGAACTGGATTGCAAGTCTGGAGAGTTGTGCATAACAAACAGCGTATAAGAAACCGCCTTTACTTGTGCGTATGCGTAACAGTGACACACTATCATGATTTATATCAACCTTTTTCTCAAACTGGCAGCATGATTTCTGTAGATTGGTACAAAAGTACAACGGAGAGAAATTGCAGCACCTATCTAATACGAAAACCAGACTGTCAACTGTCGCCACCGTAACAGGTCAAGAGCACTGTAAATGCATGCAAACAGACACTCGCCTCTCCGGGGGTGCCATACCCGCGCCATGCGCACGGTCATCTCCGGTTTTGTAGCTATGGATAATGGTTCTAGCCGCTTGGCTGGCCGTAAAGACTGCATAGACGAGCAGCACAGGCTTGTTATACTCAACGAGCTACGACAGTCAAGGAGGGGCTGGTCGTCTTTAGCCACACAGGCCTGACCAGACAAGTCCCGACGGAGTGCACCAAGGACCGAGTGAAGTCATTTGACTGGCGTTGTGCGCTGATGGCTGCCTCCTTTTTCTGCCAACGAGCGCCATTCTCACTGGAAAATAAAGCTTCTGATATGATCGGATACGTTCGGTGACAACAAGAAACGGAAGTCTTGCGAGCCATTTGGTGACACCATTGCGAAATTGAAAACGAATTAGTTTGAATTAGAAAAAAGTAGTAGCTTAAATCAGAACAGTTTTCAGCAGGTGACCAAAATGCACTACAGACCAGGGAGCCATCAAAAAGTCTAGGATCGCAGCGTCCAGTGTTCATATCGCTCAGGATCGCAGCATCCATTATTCGCAACGTCCAGAAAACGTTCAATTCCGTGCCCATTTTGGGCGTTCATAAGGTCCAGGGACGCAACGTCCAGAGTCGCAAAGTCCAGAGCCGTATGATCCAGTGTTCAAAACGTCCAGTATCCATGGCAACCAGGCTAGTTTGGATTCCTGCCGCTAGATAACACTACAGAAGCATCTTTGAGTCGTGCCGCTATTTCCCTCTTTTGTCAACAGATGGCACAGTCAACCTGGCATTCCACTGATGATCACGTGATGCGTACAGTTAAGTATGGTTACTATAAATTACCTAGACACCTGGCGGTCATGTCCGGGGCTCACCGGCGGACTGGGCGCAAACGCACCGGGCTGCGGCGCGGCCGGAGACATGGCGGGCGGCGCCGGCTTGGAAGGGACCGCTGCACCCGCGGGGTAAGCAGGCTCTCCCGCCCCGCCGCTG